CGTATAGCTGATTCACTTTGTTATGCAGCAGAAACTAACACACCATTATAAAGCAATTATACTCTAATAAGCATGTTTGAAAAAAGAAATCTTTTCTTTTTTAAATTTTATTATTATTTTTTTTATCATCTTATTAAACATCTTTGGCCTTCATATCTACCTAATCTACACATTCTATTCAGAGAACAACTTAATGTAGGGACCTGTTTCTTTAGTGCCTTCTGTGTGCCAGGCTCTCTGCTAAGTATATCCATACACAATTCATTCAAATGATATATTTATTGAGCAGCTATTATGTGACAGGGACTGTTCTAGGCAGTGGAAATACATCATGGTACAAAACAGATTTTAGAAATCTCCATCCCTAGTGTGCTTCTACTGGAGAAAGAGAATTTTAAAAATTAATAATTTATTTATATGGCATATTAAATAGTAATAATTGCTATAGAAAAATAAAGAGCAGGTTAAGGGGGTTCAGGAGTACTGGAGTGGAAATGAATGATTGCAGTTTTAAGTAGAATGGCCAGGGTAGGCAGCTCTGAGAAGGTAAGGCACTCAAGCACACTTGAAGGAGGTAAGGGAACAAGCCATAGGGGTATCTGGAAGAAGAGCATTCACACAGAGTAAGTGGCCAATTTAAAGGCCCTAAAGCAGAAGTGTATGACTGGTGTATTCAAGAAATCATAAGGAGATCAGTGTTACGAGAGCAAGGGGGAGAGGAATGGGAGATGAGGTCAGAATGGTAACTGGATTGCACAGTGTCTTATAGGTCATTGTAAAGACTTTGACTTTTACTCTGAGTGAAGAGAGGAGCCATTACAAGGTAGTAAATAGAGAAGGCTCACGATTTGATGTCCATTTTAGAAGGATCACTCTGGCTGCTCCCTTGAGCAGAAATTGTAGGGTTATAAGCAGGCAGACCAATTAGGAGACTATACAATAATTCAGATGAGAGATGATGGTATTTTAGACCAGGGTGGGAGCACTGGAGATAGAGAAAAGATGGATTTTGACATATTTCAAAAGTAGAACTAACTGCATTTCCTGGCATATTCAATGTGGGGTGTAAAAAAAAATTAGGAGTCAAGGATATAGTCAAGGTTTTTGGTCTGAGCACCTGGAAAGATTTAACAAGATGAGAAAAACAGTTATTGATATGAATTTGGGGAAAGATGATGAGGAATTCAATATTAGAGATATTAAGTTTGAGATGTCTATTAGACATCCAAGTGGAAATATTAAAATAAAAAGTTGGATATATGAATCTGGAGCTCATGGGAGAAGTGCAGGCTGGTAGGTCAGATAAGATGAAGACTAAAAACTGAGCTGAATTTAGCAATGTGGAGACCTTTGGAAAGTTTGACAAGAGCATTTTTGGTGGAACAGTGGGGACAAAAGCCTGATTGGGAGGAGAGAATTTGAAAACAGATTTTAAACAACTTTTTCATGGAGTTTTGCTACAGAGGAGGAATAAGGAAATGGGGCAATAACCAGAAGGGAGGATAGAGCAAAGAGAGGATATTTTAAGAGGGAAAAATAGCTGCTTGAATGTTTGAATACTGATGGAAATAATCCAGTAGAGAGGAAAGAACTGATAATATAGGCTAGAGAAGGAACAATTGCTAGAACTGTGCCGTAGAACAGACAAAAGGGGATGGCTCCCGTGTATAAGAGGAGGTACTGACTTTAGATAGGAGTGACTAATTCGTCCATGATAATAGGCAGGAAACAGTATGTAGGTACAGATGCTGTTAGGAGTGTAAGTGTGGTGGTGGGAGTTTGTGGAAGTTCTCATCTGATTACTGCAGTTTTGACAGTAAAGTAGGAAGCAAGGTCATCGGCTTGAAAGTAAGGCTGAGGGAGGAAGTGTTAGAATTTTGAAAGGAGTGCAGGTGGTACAAAATAATGAGCTAGGAGACCAGAAGAGTAAATGGACAAGGGAAATGAAAGAATAACTGCCAGACATCAAGAATCCACCTGTGGTTCATGGTCATGCATTTTAAGCAAAGCCAGTCAGGATGCTTGTGTGCCTTCTCCAGCCACATTCAGGTGCACACATGCAGTCTTGGAGCAGGCGGAGAGCTGGATTTAACAAATATGAGGACATGAGAAAGGGACGAGGGAGTGAAGGGTGTATGCGAGGGAATAGTTCAGATGGTTGGCTATGGGACCTACAATGGACAAGGAGGGAAGACAAATGTTAGGGAAGAGGAACAGTGACGTGATGACAGGATCAGCAGATTGTAGGCCAGTAGGATGGAATAATGCTTGGAATGAGAACCCCTTCTATAAGGGGTGAGCTGTGAAAGATAGAGGGGCTGTCAGAGAGTGGGTCAGGGTTGCAGTTATTGGTAAAGACGAGGACTGAGAGCAGGGCTACTTAATGAAGAGGCCATGGACTGGTACCAGTTTGTGAACTGTACGTTACTGAGCTGCAATGAGGTAAGTTCAGAAATTGAAGGAAATGTTTAGAAACACTATTGTGACATCCAAGCCTATGATAAGTGGACTTGTATACAGAATGTCTTTGCTTTTTAACTCTCATTTGTCTATTCATTTGTTTTTGTATTTTACAAAAGTAATGGTCTGCAACAGATTGGCTATAAACAACAACAAAAAATCTGGTCCTGCCCTACAACTGAAGCACTGCTCTAGCGTGCATGACTGTCACGTGAGTGTCTGAGGAGGGTGGAGGGCAAGACCATCAGAGGAGAGGAGTTGGAAGGACTATAGTTTCTTGAATATTGAAGTCACCGTTATCTCTAGCCTTCCGAGACAGAAGCCACCTGATTCCACCACTCTGGGGGCACTATTCTCATTGTTTGCCATGTGAACAACAGAACTCAGAGTACAGTGTGAATGGTGCCCTTAGATTGTTCACGAAGGTGGCCGTTGCTATCTCCATTTTACAGATGAGACAACAGACTCAGAGAGGTGAAATAATTGCCCAAGTTCACATAGCTAGTAAGGGAAGGAACCAGTATTTGAACTTAGGTATGTCTGTCATGCCAAAGCTAGACTCTGTCCATACACCCCTCTGTCTTTGTCACCTGCTTACAGTTATGGGGACAGCATAGCCGTAAGCCTCATAAAAACTGGGGAAAAATGCCTTTTGGGAATGTGTTGTGGTCCATGTGGCTAAGGTGAGCATTTCCATTTCTTTTAAAATCATGACTTGTTACATCTGCTGTGCTAACCCACAACCCATTGCTGTCTAGACCCATCTTTCCAGTTGGCCTTTGTTGAACCGAGAGGCTGAAGCACCTCAGGAATCCAATATCCAATATCACCACAGGATTTCCTGCACTTTCTGTTCTTGTGCTTTAGTCATTACACATGTATTAGAAACCTCTTCTAAATAATGGTTGAATGGTAAAATGATGAATAGTTTTAATACTTTTCTTCCCAAAATCTGTGCAATGGAGACGTTACTTTTATGATCTGAAAAGGTCTAGCATAGATCTGTATTTTAAACCATCTTGTTCATGTGGAAACTCTCTAAGACTCTTAGGTCTCTGATGAGGGCTGAACAGGCCTGCTCTCTCACTGAGCCTGAGTCCCAGCTGCACTGGAAGCCTTGGCATTTCCAGAAAAGTTGGTGTTGTTTGTTTCCCACTCTCCCCAGGTGCATGGAGTATTTGAGGAATCAATCCAAAGACAAAGCAGCATTAATCTCTTAGGGGTTTCCTGGTTTCCTCCATTTCTTGGCTCTCCAATAGGCCTGGGAAAGTACAACAACGCTACATTTAATTTATAAAGCGCATCCATGTTTCACTGGACCTGTGAACAGAGAAGTCATCCACTTGTTCTGGAAGCCCTCCCTGGAGTTCTGAGTCTATATGCTTACATAACACATAGGGCATGGCGTCAGAATTATGGCTTTATGTAGGCCAGGCTGCCTCTGTGAAGCATGGCCTGTGGTACATCACAGGGCCTGACACATAGTAGGTACTCACTAAGGATGAGTCGAATGAGTGAATAAACAACTGATGTTCAGTCTGTATAGGTATTTTTGTGGTGATGTGTTTAATCTTTTCTACCTTAAGCAAGTCACTAGCATGGATATATATTAATGTATATGAAAAGAACTTTGGGACTTATTTTTATATTCAAACATACGACTTTTCACCCAGAGAAGATATAGAAGAAATAAAGAACCCACCAAGATAAGCAAATAAAGCTGGACAGAGTAAGCTATGCTCACTCAGTTTAGTTTTAAATAATAATCAAAATAGATAATAGGAGCAGAATTTTACTTTGAAAAGTAATACTGCAAATCCCAGTTGATGTGGTGGGGAGAGGAGTCATTAAAATACTTTAATATGGTAAAATGCTAATTATCACAGTTATTCATTGACAGTAACTTAAAATCCCTGGTTGGCATCATAAGCATAACTAGAATTTTCAAATACATGTTATTAATTATTGTTATTAATATGAGGTTTAAAACCTGATCCTCTTTTGGAGACTAAGTATCAGGACAGGTGAATTTTAAAATGTGCCTGAAAACTCACAACAACCAAATGAAAGTTGGTATTCTTTTCTTCCATCTTGCCAAAGTACTCATCACATTAATAAGAAATGCAACCGGCATGCCAGGCACTAAGCTTCACATCATTTGTTTTTATAAGGTTGTATTCCAGTAGATGGGGAATACTTTGATTTTAGTATATACTTCATTGATGTTAAGAGTCTAGGCTCATTCTAATGACTGTGGTCAAGATATTTTTCCCTAGTTTGTCTACACAAACCTATAAGAACTAGCAAAAGCTTAACTATTGTATTTGAATAGAGAATTCTTCCTCTTCTAGATCTGAAGACTAAATAAAATATGGAACAGACAGTTACATCCCTAGTTTTTTTTATTATGCCTTTTGAAATAATTTGTATATACCTTTTAAATAATTTCAAGTGCCACAAAAAAATAATGTTAATAGCTCAAAATCAAAAGTTAAAAAAAAAACCCTAAGTATAATTTTTAAATTCTTTTTCTTCTCAAGCGTTTTACGATGGGATAATGAGACAGATGTCTCTCAACTGGAAGGACATTTTGACATTGTTATGTGTGCTGACTGGTAAGTACATAAAAATCATAAAACTCCTGTTAGAAAAAATAGCTTTGCTGGAGTAATTGGGCTGTGCTGCTTTGCTGACGGCAAAGCAAAGTCAACAAATGAGGCACAAAGCTGCCTTAACCTCAACAAATTAACATTCATCTCCATGTGACAGTTATAAGGTAGTCTTCTATCACACAGTAACTTCTACCACATTATTTCCCAAAGATTGATTTTGAGAAGCATTTCCATTTTCTGGAATTGCCTCTGTTTCATGCTTGACGTATCAGTAAATGGGCGACTTAGGCAAATTGCAAATAATTATGGCTCGGAGAGGAATAGTCTGGAGAAAAAGGAGTTTATCAACACAAACAGCTCAATTAGCTTACTTCTTAGGAGAGATCTGACTATTGATATAAGGGAATATATATATGTATGTGTGTTTGCAAACATATACACTCCAGTGTATAAAAATATCTGTGAAATATCTTTAAGGAAAAAGCTTTTCTTAAAATGTATGTTTGCTATCTAATATTTTCAGTGCCTTCAATTATGATATTTAATTATACATAAAACAAGAATTATAAAATTACATTTTATTGTTATGCAAATAATAATAGTAAAATCTCTGTCAGATGCCTGCCTTTCAAAAATAATTTACATTAGATATTTTGTCTTCTCTTTTAGCCCAGTCTACTTATTGTTAATGAAAGTCTGATCCTAAGTTACAGGATAAATATGTATCAAACCTTAATAATGATTTCAACTAATCTTATGTATTTTCTTCGTGTGTTGAATAATAATATGAGAAACATTGACAATTCACAAGTATTTTTCCTGTTAAGAGTAAAATCTTATTTGTAGTTTTATCATGATTTTTAAAATGACACTATGGATTTGAAAACACATGTTCAGATTCTGAAGAAGTTCTATTATACTGATAAACCCAAACACAAGCTCCATAACCCAGAGAACACTTTCCTTATGCGAGAGTTGAATGAATGCAATGAAGTTTTCAGGAAGTCTTTATTTAAGATTATTATTTAGTAAGATTTTCAGTGGCTAACTTTCACCTAAGTCAATGAGATTAGACTTGCTTTCTGTTTTCTTCTGAAAAATACTTGTCAAGGAAACATAAATATTTTCTTCTATTCTTATTTGAGATTTTCTAGTTTTCCATGGCCATTTTAGTCTCTCTGCACCCAGTTTCAGAAAACCTTTTTCCGGAAAAAGATAGAAGCAGATTTTTGACTAATCATTGATATTGTGTCTCAATATTACAGCCCTCATCTAATCAGAAATAAGGAGCTAAAACCTCACCATATGATTTGAGCAAGTAATTTAGTAAATGCTGTCCCTCACCAAATATGAGAAAGGATTCTCCAGGTTTCATTGCACAGATGAAGATAATGCTGGCAGGATTAAATCAGATTAAGCATGAAAGTCAGATCAGAGAGCAGCGGAAAGAGGGACGAAGGGTAGAATCTTCTTGGAGGTTCAGACGAGGGTCGCACATGGATGGGCTCTGATTATGTGGGGAAGTCAGGTCTGGCCAAGAGATTTAAAGTTAATTTTGTCCTTTGCGCAAATATCAAAACAGCCTGGCTCTGTCATACCTTGTGTTATGACACTCACACCATGTCATCCTATTTGTACCAGGGAAGCAGAGGAAGTCAGATTTAAACTCTTTTCTGATTAATGTTCTCAGTTAGGTTAAAAATAGCCACACAACATGTTTGAAAAATAGTCTTTTTTCCCTAGCCAACAACAGGATCCTGTACAACTGATATACATAATGCATATTCAGTTAAGCCTTTCATTACAAATACATAACATAATAATACAATGTCTTACGTACACACACACACACACACACACACACACACACATACCATATACATAAATACACATCTAGTCACTATTGAGAATTTATGTATTCAAATGAACTAAATACACCAAGTTTCATTTTATAAACGGCTTTTCTATGCATGAATTGTTAAGTTTTCTTTTCCTCCGGTGTTGTCAGTGCCTGAATGTCAGCCTGTTTATAATTTCCCATTTGTAAATGGGAAACATTAAGCTACTCTCACTGCGATGCTGATACTATTTCCAAAAGAAATGCTTTGGTAATGGTCTGTCTTCATATTCACAGGGATGGGTAAGCTGTTCAGAAACTTAGAAAGTACAACGATGTTCATAATATACATGTTGTGCATATAGCAGGGAAGCCCAGGATTCCACCTGTTCTTTCTGTCCTGTTGGATTGATGTTTCTCTGTCAGAGTTATTGCACGGATGCTGCTTCTAGGGGCAGGCAGGCAGGCAGGCAGACCATGATGCTATTTTTTTTTTTAAAGAATGTCGCAGAGGAGGAAAAGAAAGCTCTCTTTAGACACTACCTCCAAGATGAAACCTGAAATAGTCAGTGCCAGAAATAGGTGCCACACATAAATAGATCACGTTAAGGCTCACACCATCCTTGAGTCCTTGTCAGTCAATGAGATCTGGATTAGGCCACAGGAATATGAAGCAAGAGTTGGAGTTCAAATATTAGGTACGTGGATTAAATTCTTACTGAAGCATTTCCAGCAAGGGTGGCATTGTCTGCTTCCTTGAATAGCTAACCAGTGGTACTGCTTGATCCCATTTACATGAAAACAAGCTCTATTCACAAACCTATTCCAAACCCACATTGTGGTTCAAGTAAAATGCACATGATTACAACGAGCAGCGATATGTTTATGTTGTTAAATCATTCAGATATTCATATATTTACATTCAAACATTCATAAACCTGTAGGCAATGGGGGAAATAACTCATTTCCCAGAAGAGACAGTCTCTTAGTTCACATCTAAATTTAGTAGCTCAACTAGATTATAGAATAAAGAGGCACACTGAAAGCTAGTCGTTATTCCACCATTCAGCATTCTGGACAATGAAATATAGTTTCATGGTTCAACAGTTCCTAAGTAACTTGTAAAATGTCAACTTTGAAATAAACAGAAGGAAAACTCAAGGTACAGTCATACCTGCAAATGGATGCTGTTGCCAAATATCAAAATATTAGAATATTTAACCACAGGTGTAGAAAAAAAAACCCTCCTATTAAATTCCTTGGTTGACTTGTTTAATATTGAATTTAACATAAGAGTTCCTTTCTGCTGGAATGCAATCCAGCCCGGTCCTTGCTGAGTTTAGAATAGCGAGTTCTTGTTAATTTTAAACCTGCCTTTCCAGTTTGATGGCTTTCCAGTTTACTGTAGCTCTGCAAAAATAAAAATGATTCTGTAAATTTAAAAAAAAAAAAGTTTCTGCACATTTGGATTCTCTAAAGGCTTGGAAAGCAAGTCTGAAATGCCACCCGTAGCCAGACACATGGAGCTAGGTCTGCAGGACGGCGAGCGCCACATCTGCATGCCTCCAGCCTGAGACTTTGGGAAGAAATGGGGAAGGTACATCACTTCACTTGCTCTCCCAGCATTTTTATACTAACTATATACAGTGGATTGTTTTTATTTTCTATCATGTTTACTTTAAATGATGAAAAAAGTTTGGGTTTTGTGAAGAAAAAAATTTTTTTCTCAAAATAGGCTCTAGGATTTCTTTGTTTTCTTCCAGATGCTGTGATCATAGATAGTTCTAAATCACAACTCACAGACCTTTCCACCTGAAAAGATCTTTAACCCAAATGTAGTCAGCCCTCTTACCTCACACCTGAGGAAACTCAGTCCCGGAGAAGACAGACAGATTGTCAAAGATCTCGTACCTAAGGGGTGGCACCAAGCGAAATCAGAATACGGCTCCCCCAGCAATCAGTTGCTAAAGACTGATAGAGGCCATTCAGTCTGCCGAAAGTTAAATCTAAAACAGTGAATTTAACTGAGCATATTTCACTGTGAAAACTACATAGAGGTCTTCCTCTCTGTGGATGCTGACAGAAATGTCTCCTTGTTCTCTGCGCTAATTAATTTCCCTATGAGAGGAGCTGGAGCTGCTCTGTGCTCTGCAGAAAATCCTGACTGATTCTAAGGGAGGTGATGAAAATGGCCTGGCACCTTTCCTTTGTCATATAATCTGTGATTCAGATCAGTGGAACAAGGCAACCGTTGATTCCACAAGTGAATTATATAGAGGGGTGTGTGTGTGTGTGTGTGTGTGTGCGTGTGTGTGTGTGTGCGCGCGCGCGCGTGTGTGTGATGGCCAAACTAGACCGACCGTCGATGTATTCTGATCAGTAACTGAAGGGAGAGTTGAAATGGTATCTTCATCCCAATCACTGACCCACTCAGTCTTTTTTAATAGATCCACTTAAGCTACTGCTGTTCTCTGAGCCCATTAGGACTTATTTAAGGGGTGAATTTTCAGGAGATTATATATCACTCCCACTAAAGCACGTTAAAATTGCTGATAGGATGTATCCTACTAAGCGTTATAAATTCTGCACCAGAGCTAAGTAGAAAGGTGAGCTTGCTTGGAATAGAGACCTATTAGAGAACTACAAAAATTACTTTGGGGAAATTTGACTTGCAGTGATGGAGTAGACAGCATTAGCTTTCAAATAACTGTGTTTTGAATGTGTGCTCTGTGTTAAGCTGCATTTTCTAGTGAGCTGTGAGGGTAACATTTTTGTCACCATTGCCAGCATTAAGTAGAAATGGTACTATATTAGGTTATGCTTCTTTTATCGAAGTATATTTAATTTACAATGTTGTGTTAGTTTCAAGGGTACAGCAAAGTGATTCAGTTATTTATATATACATATATATATATATTCTTTTTCAGATTCTTTTCCATTATAGGTTATTATAAGATGTTGAGTATAGTTCTCTATACTATATAGTAGGTCCTTATTGTTTATCTATTTTTTTTATGTAGCACTGTGTATATGTTAATCCCAAAGTCCTGATTTATTTCCTCCTCCCCTCATAAGGTTATGTTTTAAGCTCAGCTTTTAAGTTGTTGATTATTTATCTCTAACAATCTTACCAGCTCTTAGGATGCACAGGTATAAACCGAGAATGGTCTTTTGCTTGGTGCTATGTATCCCAACCAGCCAGGTCTCCTGTAGACTGACAGAGGTATTTTCTCACAGTGGTAGTCTTCTTAAAAAAAAAAAAAGATGCTTAATTATTAACATTTAAGATAGTATTACCTCACTAAACAATAAGGTATATAGTCCTGAAGAGAAAATTTCAAAACACTTAAATACAATTCGATTCCTTTCTTATCGATCCTTACTGGTTATTAACCACTGATTAATATGGCTAAAAGGCAAATTTTTGTAGCATTCGAATTAGACACATTTTGTGCTCTAAGATTTAAGTGCATAGTTTTCTGGAACAATAAGAAATTTTCCCATGGGTAATAATCAGTTTATCCTGATTATCCTGATGGATAGTTTCCCATTCTAGAGATCACTTCTAGCTCACCTTAAGAGGATTCTTTTTCCATTGCTCAAAGCAGAACTTTATAGAAGAAACTTCCACTAAGCATGTCATGGTGAAACCCAAGCACTGAGAACTACAAAAAGCCACTCTCCCCACTCCTCTTAAGTGAGAGACTTAGGAGAGAACCTGGTCTGGCGAAACATCCTACCTAAAGGCTGATTCCTCCCTAGCAAGACCAGTGAAGGAGTGCATACAGCCTGTTTTAGAGGCCTTGAAACCCACCCTACGTAAGCTCCTCCAGTTCAAAGACTGTGTTGATCTGCCAGTTAGACAGTAAGTAACTCTTCATTGAGCCCCGTCTCTGTGTGTATGCTGGGCCAGACCTAGTGACGCAGAAATGAATACAGACTGGAAGCTCCTCGAGGATGGGAACTTCGTCTTATTCACGGCTTATCTCCAAGGCCTGAAACAGCCCCTAGTATACAGCAGGTCATCAACAAATATTCATCAACCGACATATATCATTCATTTGATGCCCACTGCAGCCACAGAGGTGGGCCCTTATTGACAGGAAAACTGAAGCCTCAGATGAAGTGACTTGCCCAAGGTCACATAGCAGAAAGGTCAGAGCCAGAGCCTAGGAAACCCTGAACTATGCTCTCCCCTTGTCTGAAGTGTGGCTCCACCAGCAGTGCTCCTACTGACAGCTGATCACTCATCCTTAGCTCGGAGGAGGACGATGCAGGGCCCCAGAGTAGGTGGTAATTAGCCATGCTATTTGGGGAGCGGGAGGCCAAATCAGAGGGACCCACACCAAACTACAGCATTCGAAATGGGGGTAAGAGGCTTTGCTTAGGCCCCTCATGGGATAGCTGATGCACAAGGCCACCCAGTGTTCTAGCCTGCAAGTCCTAGATAAGGAAACTCTGTCCTAAACTTCCAAGATAAGGCCTGGTGAAGACAGGGTCAGACTGATCCAGCCAAAGAGGTGACAAGAGCAACAAGAGAAATTCTCAAACCAGAAAAGAAAAATGAAAAATGACATGAACTGGAAAACAATCAACATGGAGATCAAGGGGGAAAATCCAGAGTTGCCATGGTCTCTGGGACACACTGCCTAAACCTGGTCTTTGTGTACTCCCAGGTCACTTGTTGGCTCTAACCTCAGTGCTGTTGCTAGTCACTAAAAACTATCACCACCTGAGAGCTGTTTTGTGGTTGGTGTGTAATAGGGCTGGTGGTTTGTTTTTGGAGGGTGGCCTCACAGCACCCTCTGTGGGCAGAGGGCACAGGTCTACAGACAAGTGTTGGGAGAGCTTCATCTCCACCAGATGAATCCCCCAAACAGCAGCTTAGAAATTGTCCCTTTCGCACTAACACATGGCCAGTCGCGTTGAATCGTGGCCCGTCGCATGTTGATGACTTGACTTTGGTTGGATAACACTGACCACAGTATCTTTTGTTTATTCCAGTGAGACACTTGAACGGAAGGAAACATTTCTCTTTTTTAGTGTTGAGTAAATATGTGTAATTAGTCTTGATCTCCATTAGTATCATTAGACTTGAAAACCCAGTTTAATCTGGATTCTGCTCTCTTCTCAACGTCAGCCTGTTTCTGGACCAGTACAGAGCCAGCCTTGTTGATGCAATAAAGAGATTACTCCAGCCCAGGGTAAGTATGTTTCTATTTTCTCCTGAACACTGGCTTCAGAATAATTAGTCTGTGCACAAAGATGGAGAGAGTAATGGAATGGCAGGATTAATGTCATGTAATACTTTAATACTTATTATGTCCAACTTCAATTGGGTCTTCTGATCTATCAGATTCTTTCCTAATCATAACTAGGGAACTTCTTACCCTTGGCCTTCTGATAAGGAACACAGTGGGTAGTAAAATAAATGAAACCACTTCAAAGATAGTGTGAGATTATTTTTATCAAAGAATTTCTTGAGTCTTTTCCTTTGATAACAATATCTTCATATTAAAGTAGAAGTATGATATTGAAAGTTTTCTGTTGACTTCTGTCATTTTAAGTCCCTTCAATGGTTACCTTTGTCGTTGGGTATTTATTGCAAAAGGACATTTTTCTTTTTATTTCTGTTTATATTGAATAAAGGGGCTTCAGATGAATCTGTATATTAATCTGTTCTTTGCTTTAAAAGGAAGCCATTATTTACATATTATAAACATTAGGTCACAATGAAGCCAAGCATGGCGTAAAATATTGTGCACATTTTTACATTTATATATCCATTTATGCCTGTGAGTAAATTACAGAGTTTTTATCCACTCTTTATTTTTTTGGGCTGTTATACTAAGCTAGGAGGTCCTGCAGCCTAAACAGAGAGTTAATATACATCTATTTAAAGTAAGAAAACAAGTTTAAAGCACATGCATTAAAAAAAAAAATCTTATAACTATGTAAGACTCTTGCTGTGCCATAGAAATTTAAAATATGTTAACAATGTTAAAGTAGTCTAAGACAGGAACTCACATTTATCTGAGAAAGGACTATACTGTGTATGTGTGTGTGACGTAGTTTCTAAAGTTTTATCTCTTCTTTTAAAAAAGAAGGTTTGCTCCAGTCTTCTGACCTCAGTGAGACTTATAGACTAATACCTTTCAATCTTTCTTTTATATCTTTTTCACATTGAAGGTTCCCAGAGCAATTTGATAATCATCCTTTGCCTTACACTGTTGCTTTTTATTTTGTTATCTCTATATACCTCAGAAACTTTAAATAGGCCTCTAAGAGGAGTAACCACAGCTTTGTAAGTGGTAATCAATTAAATTAAATTGGCCTTCTCAATTCCCTCTGAGGTGGGTAATAGGTCTGGAGGCAAGGAAGGGGCATGCACCAAGCTATTAATGGCAGCTGTCGTGGTTGAGTGAGCAGCCCAAGTTGAGGGCAGAAGGAATTGGGGGCCTCTTCATCCCCCCATTAGCCTTAGGTGGTTCTCATGAGCATTTGCAAGATCAGGATTTTCAGAGAGGGGGCGGAGATTCTTGGACGTAGAGGCTTCTAGGAATACTATCATATGTAAACACAATTTCAAGGACTCCTGGATCTCACAGTGCACAAACAGTAATTCACTCGTCACCAACACCCCTTCAAAGCCTGTTTGTGACAAATACTCCATTTTGCAGCAGATTTGCATGATTTACATAGGATCTATTGTAAATCATGAGAACGATTTACAAGAGAAAACTGCCCAAGCTGTGAATAGATCTAAATGGAGATTGAACTGGAATGTCTAGCAGCTCTCCCGCACCCTCTGTTAAACTCTGAACGATGCTGCCCCTAGTCTGAAGTGTGACTCCACACAGCGGCCTCCTCTGAGGACAGCAGTGCTCCTACTGACAGCTGATACTCACCCTTAACTTGGAGGATGAGGCAGGTCCCTAGAGTGGGCAGTACTTGCTCATGCTCTGTGAGGAGTGGGGAGGCCAAATCAGAGGGGCCCACATCAAAATGCAGCATTAGAAATGAGAGGAGGTGACCTCGCTTAGGCCCCTCCTGTCCTGCAGGCCTGCTCAGACTGCGGGGTGTTCTAGTCTAAGGGGTCAGGGGTCCACCCTAAGGGGGGAATCCCAGTTGTGGATGGCACATGGACATACTGAAGTTCCCACCCAGGGATCCCATCCCCATTGGGAGGTCTGGGGAGGCAGGGCATTTGCACTCCTTGGGCCCCCACCCAGATGGACCCAGGAAGGGTCACCTGGACTCAGCAGGGAAGAGCAGCAGCTCTCTATCCCATGCCAGTGGGCTGGAAGGGTTCCCAGAGCTCGGGGGCACCCAGCGGATAACTGCACTCTTCTTCTTAGCTCTCAGGGCTATTGTCCTGCTTCCAAAGGACCTCCCCCTGATGAGTGTCTGTGTGTGGAACTCACAGTCCAAGACTAAGATAACACTAAAGGTTTTAGTCTATTACAATTTGAGATGCTGTAATGTTTTCTTGAGCCTAGATCACTCCTCCATGGTTTTGTGGCCCAGAGGCTAAAGGTGCCATAAGAGGCCCACAGAGAAACAACCTGGGCAGGTGCACTGGTGGATCCCGAGTTCTTGGTAATTCAGGGCTCAGCAGACTCAATGGAGACAAAACAAGTTCTCAGGGTGCTCAGCAAAAACTGCACTTTGGCCAAATGCTTCGAATTCATAGGAGGGCCCAGTTTCTGAAGGCAAAGTATCAGTAGGTGGAGTCAGAAATATCTGCATACAAAACTTGTTGTTCTTACTATCTAGCCACTTACTGGATTCATCTCTCGGAGCCTCAGTTTCTCATCTGTAAAATGGGGAGTAAACAAGGCAGTGCATTGGAAAGCTTTAGCACATGATTGACTCTGAATGCATATGTGTTCGCTCTTATTACCTTGAAGAATTAGGGGAACTTTCCAGCTGTGATGAGTATAGAATATAGGGGGCTCTTCACAAAAACTGTTCTCAGAGAAATGGTTGGCAGGAGGGGAAAATTTTTTTTCTCAACCTGGACTTGGACGATTTCTACACATAACTGGGCCTGCTGCATTTCCCTGCACCCATGTCCTGCATACCTGCTGCAGGCTCTGCAGAGGTCTGGGGGATTGTCTACCTGGATGAAGATGACACTTTTTAGTACAGATAACCCTACTGAGTAAGGTGAGAGAAATTATACTAAGTGGCCAGAATGAAACTATTGCAACACAGAGGTTCAGTTGTCAAGCTTGGGAAGAAATGGCTTCTGCCATTACTGGGGAGTATGGTTCCTTGATTTCTAGCTAAGGCAGCTCTGCTGTCTGGAGTCAGAGGACCCAGAAGCAAAGAAAGTAGAGGGAGGGGAGGGTTCCCCTTGCTTTTCAGCTTTTATATTGGGGGTCGTGGATGAGGTGGCCCTCAGAGAGAGCTTAGCCACCAGAGTGGGCTCCTGGCTTGACCAGGAACAGTAGCAGATCCCAGGGCTGAGCCTAGATCCTCAGGCAAAGAGGCACCCATGCCTGGAAGGTCATTACAGGAAGCCCCAAATGTCAGGAGGAAATGATTGTTACCTGTCCCAGATGGAAACTTTCCTCAACTTACTGGTTGAGAGACACTGTCAAAACATCTGACTCCTGCCAGAATGCTACAAGGGACTCTCTAGCAGACTTACAAGAAGAAAAGAAAAGATCTTAAAAAGGAATGAAATCAGCACATTTTACTCATTCCAAGTAAATGGAATGTCCCTCCCCTCCCGCACCTCTTTCCGTCCGGTGAGTGGCTTCTTGTTGCTGACAGGTAACCCCCTATCGCTGTGTTCCTTAAAGACCATCAGCCATGTCTGATATCAGAGGACCCAGATGAAATTTAAAATACAGCCACACAAGCCTACAAGTTGAATTTCAGTCAAGAAGTGACAAGCAACAAATGGCATCTACTAATATTCCTCTAAAATGGCTTTGGGTGGAAGGAGGGGAGCCAAGCCAGTTAGTGTAAGTTTACTCAGGACCATGCGGAGATGGATGGGGATGCAATATGGACAGATCTCCAGCTTGTTATAGCTGCTAACCATTGTCAAGAATTCAAAACTATCACTGTGGAATTCATTTAACCTTCTGTAGAAGCTGCCCTAAGTAACTGCCAAATTCCTGGAGTCCTGACTACATGCCAGCCGTGCTATAAAAGTAAATCATGGACTCTCATTTTAGAAGAGCACTTTCTTTTTACTGACATATTTCCTCATCTTTTAAAAAATCTAGCACCTCTGCACCCATCTGTACAAACCTCTGTTTTTGCTTATCTCAGGGAAGTGCCTTGTGAGTGTGGGTTCAGTGGCATGAACTGAGATGGTGCTGAAGGACCCTTGGTTCCTGTCTGCTTGCTGGGTCAGAGGCCCAACAAATCCTCCTCTGTTCTTGGTGAGGACCTGTGTTCCACCATACCTGGCCCTCCAGGTATAGGAATAGAGAGTCCCCAGATGGTTTTTAAGACCCTCAGAACAAGAGCCTAGCCCTTAGAAGTTCTTCTTGGAAGTCCACCCAGTTGTTCATCCAGTGCTGAGTCTCTGCCCCTGAGGAATTTATAATGTGGTCATGGAGATGTAACATACACACAGATGAAATTACAGTGGACAGTGCAAAATGGCTTATAACAGCCCAGCACTTGATCATATAGGGCCTGGTGCTGTTTTTATTTGTTGTGTGATTTTTTTTCTAATTTACACCTTCTATAGAACGTGAGATACTCTGAGATTTGAACTCGTCTTGATTCAACAAACATTTGTTGAGCCTCGCACTGTGCTGGGGATTGTGGGGTATAAATAGGAATAATGAGCACTTGGAGAATCTCACGGTTTACCAGGGCAGATTAATGCACAAGCTCCTTGGGATTATAATGCTATATGGTAAGTACTAGGGATACAGCACGAAGAGTAACTAACTGCCTGAGGAAGGGTTTCATAGAGGCAGCAGTATTTGACTTTGTTCTTGAATAGTAAGAAGGCCTTTCTAAGCCTCAGAGGAAGGAGACTAGAAAGTAGCATCCCTGGTGGAGGGGACAGTGCTCACAGGTGGAGAGTATGAAAAAGCATGTTGTGTTTGCAGGAGTTTGCTCTGGTTGGAGAGTAAGAGTGTCTGTGTGGTTTGGGGTTAGGGTTGCGGAGGGGTGAGGGATGAAGATAAAGAGTTAGTTTGGGTACCACTTTAAGAAAGGCTGAGAACAT